TTGAAGCAACTGCCATGTGATTGGTTGATTAGATAATTGCATTAATGAGAAATTGAACAGGTGTTCCTAATAATCCTTTAGGTGAGTGTATATCTGAAATATGAGTGGGCAATCTCATCGGCAAAGGGGCAGGTTTTTGGGGTCGGCTGTTCAAACCCAGGTGTGAGGACTCTTTGGCCAATCAGTCCTCTAATTAGTAATCTAATTAGGGAGTGGCAGAGAAAACCAGCATATCCTAAGGCCCTTTCTGGGTAAGACTGCCCACTCTTGATCTAAAAGGATAATTCACGTGCAAATTTAAGCATTTACCTGCGACGTAGTACCATCGCCTGCTACGTTTTGGCAGCGCTGAGCCGCCGTAGGAAAACGTGGTGAAAGATTTTTTTTGTGCAGTTAAGAAAGTGATGAGAAGTAAAACCGAAAGAGGAAGCTTTAATTATTATTTTAAATACACCCGTTTGCATGTACAGCATCTTGTTTGGGTTCCGACATTAAGCTAGGTTCGCCACCCATAAGGAGGAACTTTTCCTGATTATTTTGTAGATAAAATCTACATATCTAATTGATAATAGCATCCGAAATCGAATCCGCTAATGCTCCATTAGACATGGCTCGGCTTTATCCAGCGCCCTTGATGCTTTTATTCATCGCCAGACTCGCGTCGCTTCAGGCCAGTTCAGCGGCAGCCAGAGTGAAGCTTCATCTAATGCATTATGCGGATGGTGAAGCGAGGGAATTTACTAACACGTTCAAAACTACAGATCAGAGCATTAATTTGCGTTCCAGTGGACATTATGGCAAGGACGGAAAACTGGGGTTTGACCCAGGCGATGCGGCCCCGGCTTTTCAGATAAAAACCCTCGCTGGGGAGTTTGTGTATCCACCTGCAGCGGGATTGAAGTTTTCGTTAATCATTCATGCGTACACTAACAAATCGGCTTTCCTCGAGTGTTTATGGACGTCGGAGTCCTCTCTGACGGACCTGGTTGAAGGTTTCCCTAATAACTCTCAAGCGCTCTTTGTGTCTTATGATGACACGGCGGCAGCAGATGCACTGTGGATGAGGGAGCAGATTCAACGGGTGGCAACTGCACAGAGGTAACTAGTAAATGGTCATGAATACGAATATGACACATACAGCTGTGACGGCCAGCATTATAAATACGAATATATTTGTACTCTGTAGTGATCAACAACACATGAAAAGACATACTTAAGACTGCTTTTGTTCATTGCAAATCATAGGCGGAACGACATATTGGCCAGGGTACATTTCTCTCCTCTGCCTGTCCATGAGCTGGGAAACTGGATTCCCAGTGTGCTGTACTCTTGGAGTTACTCTGGACTTCCCCAAGTCGTTTTCACCTCTCCAGGTACAATTCTATGTTGTCACTTTTGTAATAAAGTCTTTTTTAAAGGTCCAAACTTTTTAAATTTAGGTTAAGATCCACTCCATGCTGTAAGTAGTGAAACGTTTTGAATCTAACAAACATTGTTTATGGCCGTAACAGCTTTAGGGTTAAGCTGTGAAAACTTTTGTGTGAAATGTGTGAAAAGCAGCTAAATGCTAGTGTTTTGATGAGTAATCTGTGCTGATTTACACAAGTGTTTTTGTTTTTTTTTGCTTAAAAAAAAGCCCATTGCTGAGTGTCAATGCCAGTGTCTTTTCCTGTGATGTTGTTTACCTGCAGTATTTATGTCACGATTGTCATGCATTAATATTCATAAATCCTTCCGAAGCATAAACAGTTTTTTAAACAGCCATTCTGTGTCAATGGGCTCTTTACAAATGTCACACAATGTAACTAAATTCGTGTCACTATACCCATATATATATGGCCGAAAAACATAGAACGGCACTTCTAAAATGCAGTGTATCTTATAATCTGGAGCACAGTAAAGGGGGAGAAAATTAGGTTCCTTCCAAGCTCAGGGGCCCTAAGAGATTCGTAACATACAGACACTCCCCAAGTTACAATGGTCCGTGTTACGATATTTAAATTTTACAGTGGGTAAATGTTTTTCAATTTTAGTACATTATTCAATATATTACTTGAGATATTGAACACTTTATTATAAATTAGGCTTTCTGTTAATGATTATGCCCAATTGTAGGCTAATGTAAATATACTAAGGTGTTATAGGCCAGCCGATGATATTTAAGTTAGGTGTGCTGTATTGAAATGAGTTTTCCCCATTATCATATTTTCACTTTACAATTGGTTTATCGGAACGCATCCCTATCGTAACCCGGGCAGATGCTGTAATTGGGTTTGCTTGAGTTTGGAGCCCAATATTCTATGTTTTCAAGGGGCCCAAAATCTCTGCTGACTCCCCTGTTTCTGATGTCAGTGACTGATCCGAAATAACTGATCACACACTGGTTCGGTGTATGATTTGTTTTTAAAGTTTTTTTTAAAATTGCCTCATTTTCGGAGCCACAGAATCTTAGCAGTCATAAAGGAAATATAAACCAATATTT